ATGCCCAGGCTGTGGCCACCAGCAGACTGCAAACTGAAACCATAATGAGATCCCCAACACACCCAAGATGAAAATCACGGGGCAGGACTCATGCATCCTGGCTGAGAAGGCTGAGAAGGCAAGGGGCCCGGCAAGCTGGAGAGTCAGGTGCAGAGTCAGGCACGCACCACAGGACCCAGCAACCCTGCCCCTGGTGTCTTCCCTAACAAACTGAAAGTCTGTGTCTCAGGGGCACGGTACGCAAATTGCCTATGGAGGCTCCAGTCGTAAACAGGCAAGACCTGCAGCGAACTTAATATTCTTTTTTTTTTTTTTTGAGACGGAAGTCTCGCTTCTGCCGCCCAGGCTGGAGTGCAGTGGCCGGATCTCAGCTCACTGCAAGCTCGCCTCCCGGGTTCACGCCATTCTCCTGCCTCAGCCTCCGGAGTAGCTGGGACTCACAGGCGCCCGCCACCTCGCCGGCCTAGTTTTTTGTATTTTTTAGTAGAGACGGGGGTTTCACCGTGTCAGCCAGGATGTCCTCGATCTCCTCGACCTCGTGATCCGCCCGTCTCGGCCTCCCAAAGTGCTGGGATTACAGGCTTGAGCCACCGCGCCGGCCCCGAACTTAATATTCTATAGCAGGTAAACAACCTTGTGCTACACCCTACAAAGAAAATATACTCAGTAGTTGGGGTGGTGGCTCACACCTGTAAATCCCACACTTCGGGAGGCCAAGGTGGGTGGATCAACTGAGTCAGGAGTTCGAGACCAACCTGGCCAACATGCATGGCAAAACCCCGTCTCTACTAAAAATACAAAAATTAGCCGGGTGTGGTGGCAGGCGCCTGTAGTCCCAGCTACTGGGGAGGCTGAGACAGGAGAATCACTTGAACCTGGGAGGCGGAGGTTGCAGTGAACCGAGATTGTACCACTGCACTCCAGCCTGCGCAACAAAGCGAGACTCTGTCTCAAAAACAATTTTTTTTTGCAATGTGTCATGTGCCATTGCTAACCACAGGCACCATGCACAGTGAACTCCGGGACTCCCATATCTTCCCAGACTGAAATCTGTTACCAGTTGAACAGCAACTCCCAGCTCCGCTCCCCAGCCCCTGACCACGGCCACCCTACTTTCTGCTTCTGAGTTTGACTATTGCCTCACAGCAGAGGAATCATGCAGAATTTCTCGCTTAGCAAAACGGTAGGGTAAGGTTTTTGTTTGTTTTGTTTTTGAGATGGAGTCTCGCTGTGTCGCTCAGGCTGGAGTGCAGGGGAACCATCTCGGCTCACTGCAAACTCCGCCTCCCAGGTTCACGCCATTCTCCTGCCTCAGTCTCCCCAGTAGCTGGGACTACAGGCGCCCGCCACCACGCCCAGTTATTTTTTGTATTTTTAGTAGAGACGGGGTTTCACTGTGTTAGCCAGGATGGTCTTCATCTCCTGACCTCATGATCCGCCCGCCTCAGCCTCCCAAAGTGCTGGGATTACAGGCGTGAGCCACCGCGCCTGGCCTGTTTTTTGTTTTTGAGACAAGTCTTGCTTTGTTGCCCAGGCTGGAGTGCAGTGGTGCTATCTCAGCTCACGGCAACCTCCACCTACCGGGTTCAAGCGATTCCCCTGCCTCAGCCTCCCGAGTAGCTGGGATTATAGGCGCCTGCTACCACGCCCGGCTAATTTTTGTATTTTTATTAGAGACGAGGTTTCACCATGATGGCCAGGCTGGTCTTGAACTCAGGTGATTCACCCACCTCCGCCTTCCAAAGTGCTGGGATTGCAGGTGTAAGCCACCGCGCCCGGCCTGAAACCCTGCATCTTTATCCAGGCCTCCCTGGATGGATGTTGGGAGAGTTTACGCGTGGCTGTGGGGGATGGCTGTGGCAGGCTCTCAGCTATCAGAGGGCTCCATTGCGAGGAGGCAGCTGGTGGCGAATCCTGAGCAGCGATGTGATCCGAGGGGCAGGCGGCAGGTGGGATGGAAGCTGATGTCACACAGGTGAGTCCCCCACCTCCCGCCAGGCTTCCTCCACCCCCTTGGCAGCCCAGCAGGGTCAATCAGTGGGACCTGGTCAGTGGGCTGCTGGGGGACCTCAGGCAGGGGGCTTGTCCTTGGGACCTTGCGGCCTCCAGCAAGGGGGACATTCACGGCACCCAGGAGGGCTCCTCCAGAAGGTGAGACACGGGCACTGAACCCAGCCCTGTACACAAGACCTGAGTCCACCGAGGGAGGGGGCCAGCCCCCTCCCCGCGTCTGCATCCCCATGACCACCCCAGGTGGAGAGGGCTGAGTGTGGTGCCCCTGCGGATGCTCTGACGATCGCCTCAGGCCACGGGGGTGACAGTGACTTAGACCTGTGTGCATGTGAGTGGGACAGCCAGGCCTAGCTGGAGAACACACACACACACGTTCACCCACATACATGTGCACTCACACGCTGACAGTTCAGGGGGTGGACACTGACTCCAGGCCCGGTTGACCTGGGCAGGTCTGCAGCCACCCCACAATGTCAGCGGTGCCAAGTGCCCAGCATGTGTGGAGCAGGTGGGGACACAGCGGGTGTCCAAGAGGGGCTCTGCATCCAAAGGCGAGAGGTGGGTCTCAGCACAGCTGCCCTCCCCCATGGTATGGCAACGGTCACTACCAGGTGGCCTGCGCTGGCCTCCATGTGGCTGCCAAGGGTCATCCCTGAGCACTCAGCGGGTGCCCGTTCCACGCGGACTGTGCAAACGACTGTCTCATTCACCTCATGGCAACCCCATGGGGTGGATACGAACGCACGCATTTGACAGGTGAGACATCCGAGGTCAGGGGGGAGGAGACAGACCCAACCTTGGCCGTGCTCTCCAGCCCTGCCCTGCGCTGGACCCAACCTAACCTCTGCAGCCTCCCTGCCCTGGACACAAATCTGGCTGAGACCCCAGACCCTGATGGGGCAGAGCCTGGCACTGCAAGAGCCACCAGGATGGGCCCCCTGGGTGTGGGCAGAGGGTGGTCCTCAGTCTAGGTTTTTGCCAGAATATGGGTCCCTGCAGGAGGGGGTCTCAGCAGCTCAGACTTCAGATGCAGTCGCTGCTGCTTGCTGGGGGACGGCCAGACACGGAGCCCTCTGTTCTCCGGCAGTTGTGGACAATGAGAGATCCGTGGATTTGCGGGTCAGGGTGCAGGGACGGGCTCTCCCCACACAGCCCTCCCACAGTCTTGTTCTCTGGGATTGGCAATTTGCAGGGGCGTCCCCAGCATCAGACCAGGGGGGGCTACACAGGGACCCAGATCCATGGGGCCCAGCCTCCGCAGGTAACCCCAGACATCAAGACCCTCCTTAAGGGGATGAGCTGGCTCTCCGCTGCCCATCAGCGCAGCTCCGGAATGCCAGGGGGCAGGGCTGGAGAGCACGGCCAAGGCAATGTCCGCTCCCACATGGGGGCCTGGTCCTCCCACACACTGGCCTGGCCGGACTGTCCCCGAGGCCAAAGCCTAGTGGCATGAGGGGGCTTCGTGGAGCCCAGGGCAGTGGGCTGCTCTCGGGAGTCCCCAGGACCCTAGCTGTGGCTGGCCAGAGTCCCTGGACCCTGGGTATCAGGACAGACCCCAGGTTGTCCAGTGGTTCCCGTGCTGGAACTCCTGTCGAAGCCACCCAGGGACCTGGTGCTTTCCACAGTTCAGCATGGAGCAGCGGTGCTGGGCCCTGTCCCCTCCGCGTCTGTCCTGGATACCCCAGGACCACAGCACGGGTCAAGCCCTGCAACCCCAGTGGGGACCTGACACCAGGCCCTGCCCAGCCCCATAATGACCAAGAGGCAGGTCCAGAGACACCCCCTGCACAGGGTCACCTGCATCTGACCCCCTCGGCAGGCAGTGACCGGCACGGTGTGGAAGGAGCCAGGGCGGTACCTGGCAGCCCCAAAGGGCTCCTGGCCTCAGGAAGTCTGTATCGATGGGGAAGCTGGTCACTTGGAGGCTGCTGGAGAGAAGGGCAAGTGTGGCATCTCCTGGACAGAAGGGTGAGTGTGGCGTCCCTGCAGCCCTGGCCGGCCAGCAGCACGCCCTGCAGTCTCTTGCCCAACCTCTGCGACGGGGACCCCTGACAGGGCACAAGTCCCCATCCCAGAGAGGCCTGGCCCAGCCTCAACCCGAGCCCTGGGAGGGGAGGGGCACCAGGGGTGCCGTGGGCCTCCAGCAGCAGCCAGAATGACCACACGGGTGACTGAGCACTCTGTAGCTGTGGCCAGACCTAGAACTTGGCCCAAGGCAGGGCAAGCCCCTTGGAGCAGAGTGGATGGCTGAGCCTGTGCGTACCCAGCAAGGCCGAACCAGTGACGCTACCAGGCTCCAAGAGCAGCCAGCCATGAGGCAGGGGTGGGGCGAGGGTGGGGTGAGGGCAGGGGAGGGCGGGGCGAGAGCAGGCGGACCAGCTGCCAACCTCGTCCACTCCAGGAGGCAGGGATGGCCAGGCTCCCACGCCCTAGTGGCCGCCACCCGACCACCAATAAGGCAGAGGCCTGAAGCCAGTCGGTGCTGGAGCCCTAATTGCAAGGTCCACAGACTGCTCCAGGCCAGAGAGATGAAGAAAACTGGGCATGTGAAGGCCCAGGAGGCAGAGTCCCTATGTCTGCCATTCTTGGCAAGTGCATTTCACCATGGGAAAAAGTCAGGAAAAGCGATGCCTCTCACCGCCAAGGCGGCTCCCAGGTAGAGACCAGAGCCGCCGGCACAGATCCCCAACCCCTAAAATCACCTCCCTCTGGAGGACCGTGATGCCCTCCTAGTTGGTAGCAGCACAGTAAGCTTGTAAGCTCTCCTTATGATCTGCCTGCTTGTCCAGAGCTCTCTGCCGGAATCCATGGACACTCTGGGGCAGGCAGGAGGAGACAGCAGCACAGCCCAGATCCCTGACCAGCCTCTCCCAACCTCCCCCTCCCAAAGGCTGTGGAGAGCCCAAGGCTGGACAGGCCCAAGGTTCCGACATACCTCACGCCAGGCCACACGTGCACCGTGTCCCACCCTCAGCCAAAATTCAAGGTCAAGACCATCCAATAATTTACTGCGATCCCATCTGCGCCTGACAAGGGCCCACAGAGGCCTGGGAGGGGAGCTAAGGGCTGGGGTTCTGGTAGCATCTAGGATGCTCAAGACAGTCTGTGCAAAGCATCCCTGGGAGGGTCTGCGGTCACTTCAGCCCATGGTCCCTGGGTGGCTGGGCTCCAGCAGCCCTTCCTTCCTTCCTTGCTTCCGTCCTTCCTTCCTCCTCTTTCCGTCTGTACCTCCTCCCTGCATCCGGCACCTCCATGTCCTGAGCTTGTGCTGGGCGGGGCACAAAAGAGGCTGCTGATCGCAGGCGAGGAGACCGGCAGGGGTGGGGAGCCCGGGGTCATCCGGTGGGCGTGGCGGCCGCCCTGGGAGCCCCCCTCACCTGCGTCAGGAGAGCACACACTTGCAGCTCATGCAGCCAGGGCCACTCTCATCAGGAGGGTTCAGCTTCCGCAGCTTATGCTGCCGAATCTCACGCACCAATGTGTAGAAGGCATCCTCTACTCCCTGGAAAAGGAGGAATGGGATCAGGAGGGACAGGCCTGTGGCCCCCTGCCTGGGTGAGGGGTTCCCTGCTGTGCGATCAAGCCGTGCCTGGCCCAAGGCTCCCGACTCCACCAGCCACTTCCCCAGGCCCACCACACACACAGGAAGCTGGGCTCTGGTCATCTCGAAGAGCCCAGGGCCACCTGCACCACGCTACAGCAGCCCCTCAAAGGTCAGGGTGGCCCAGGACCCTCCTGAACTCCAGATCTGGCCAGGGTTTGACCACCCTGCACCCAGCTCTCATCTGAGCTATGGCCAGTGTCCCCGGCAGCCTCACTAAGACTCAGAACCAACAGGTGCCCATGGGACACTCTGGGGACAAGAGGGGCTGGGCCCCAGGGTCACCGCTCCGGCCTGGCTCAGGGCAGCTCTCCCCAAGGACCTCCGCCTTCCCCGGAGCTGTGTCGGCCCAGGACTGCAGGGCGTGAGCCCAGACCCCGGCCCTTGCCTCCCTCACTGCCCTGCCGTCCCGGGAGACTTACAGCGCGAGGGGCCGCTGGGTCACATGGGTCCCGGGGGGTCCCAGAGGGTCCCGGAGCTGGAGCCAGAGCCAGAGCGGCTGCCCTGTGTCAAGGGAGAGGGGTGAGTGAGTGCTGCTCCCTGGCTGGGGTGGGGCGGGGCGAGTCCCTGGCTAGCTGTGGGCTGGAGAGCTGCCTCACCTGTCGCGTCTTGGCCGAGGTCTCGATGTAGGGGATACCATAGCTTCGGGCGAGGTCCTGAGCCTGCCGAGACTCCACGGTGCGTGCAGCCAGGTCACACTTGTTCCCCACCAGCACCATGGGCACGTCGTCTGAGTCCTTCACCCGCTTGATCTGCTCCCTGGGAGGAAAAGTGAGAGCTGGCTACAGGGGCTGCAGGCACGACTGCATCCAGGACATGCACAGAGAGGACAGGAGGCCCCTGTCTGGGCACAGCCGGCCTGACCCCACTTGTGCCTCGTGGGCTCCCGGGCCAGCCTCACGGGGTTCACCTGTACTGGTGGATGTCCTCAAAGGACTTGGTGTTGTTGATGGCAAACACACACAGGAAGCCTTCCCCCGTGCGCATGTACTGGTCCCGCATGGCGCTGTACTCCTCTTGGCCAGCCGTGTCCAGGATGTCCAACAGGCACGTCTCCCCATCAATGACCACCTGCTTCCGGTAGGAGTCCTGCAGGAGGACAGAGCTCAGGGACCCCTCAAGACCCTCCATGCGGGGAGTTCACAATGCCAGCCTCTCCCTGTACCTCTCATGCCCCCTCATGCCCCTCTCATGCCCCCTCTCCTGGGGTGCTGAGACAAGGGGCTCCCCTTCTCTGGAGGAAGCAGGAGACAGGCCCAGAGCACCATGCAGGGCCAGGGGCCGCAGCCACCCCTATCCTGGCTGTGTCCTGGGCTCGCCCACAGCAGCTGCCGGGACCTGGACGGCGGCGCCAGGCTCACCTCTATCGTGGGGTCGTATTCGTCCACGAAGTGGTTCTGGATCAGCTGGATGGTCAGCGCACTCTTGCCCACACCACCGGCGCCCACCACCACGAGTTTATATTCCGTCATTGCTCCTCAGGGGCCTGCGGCCCGGGGTCCTACAGGGTCTCCTGCCCCACCTGCCAAGGATGGCCCTGCTCAGCCAGGCCCAGGTCCCACAGGGCAGCTGCTGGCAGAGCCATCTGAAGAGCAAACCCATAGCGGGCCCTGGGTCCCAACGCCAGACAGCAAGGACTGCAGCGTGCCTACCTGTGCAGCTGCAAACCAGCGCGGGGGGAGGGCTGTCGCCTCGCCCCCACTTGCTGTTAAGGACCCAGTGAGGGGAAAAGGGAGCCAGCCTCCAAAGGCAGGGCTGACAGCTGAGCGCTCTCAACCAAATTAGAAGCTGCTGGGTCGGCAGAAAGACTAAAGGGAGGCGCCCGAGGGCTGAGGTTACCGTCCTCCTAAACAGGTCTGGCCACGGCGGAGCGCGCCACGGCGTGCCCGGGCAGGCCAGTGCCAGCCTGCAGGCCCCGTGGCGCTGGTGCCTCCGACAAGTATTTGCTGAGCGCCTACTGCGTGCTAGGCGCCGCTGAGGGGAGGGCAGACCCGGGCAGCGCTCCGCGCCCCCGGCGGGGAACCGGGGGCATCTTTCAGCCACAGAAAGCTGGAGAAGACAGAGGGGCTCCTGGGAAGCAGGGGCTGAGCCACAGGAAGGGGCCGAGAGGCGGCGCGGGAGACCCGAAGAGGGGAAGGGCCCTGGGGCTGAGGCCCCCGGCCTCGTCCGCGACCTGTGATGCTGAATCGGGGGTGCCCGGGCGTGCCGTGGCCGCGGCCGCCTCCGCCCAGACGCGCCTGGTTATGAGGGCGCCGGGCCCGAGGCTCCCGGGGACGCCGGCGTGAGGACCGTGCCCAGAGCGAGGCCACGGGCGGGGCCCGGATTCCCGCAGGCCCCAGGGACTAAGGGGCGTCAGCCCGCCCCCGCCAGCCGCAGCCCCCGACGCCCGCTCACCTGTGCCCGGGGGCCCCGCCCGGCCCGGCCCCACCCACCCACTACCGCCGCCGCCGCTGCCGCTCACGCCCGCCAGCCCCGCGCCCCCGGCCCGCGCCGCGCGTATGGCTGCCGCCTGGGGGCGGGGAGGGCGCGCGGCCCGGCCGACCCCGGCCCCCACTCACCGCTCACTGGCGCGACTGCCCCCGGGGCCGGGGCCGAGGCCGGGGCGGGGCGGGGGCGGGGGCGCGCGGTTCTCCCAGCGCATGGGCTCCGTCCGCGGCGGGTGCGGCTGGGGCTGCAGGCGCAGGGAGCGGGCGGCGGAGACTCGGCCGGGCCCGCGCACGCCCCACCCCGCGCCCGTCCGTCAGCCCGGCGCGACCTACCATTGGCCGCGCTCCACCAGGCCCCGCCCCGCCCCGGTTGGCTGAGCGGCCCGTCTGTCAGGAGCCGCGGTCGGGCAGGGCTTCCGGGAGCAACGCGGGAGGCGGAGCCAGAAAGGCCGCGGCCTCGGGGGGCTGGGCTCGGCCGGCGAGCGGAGGCAAGCTCGGGGTTGCTCGAGGAGGGCGAGGGAGCAGGTGTCTGGGGGCCTGCGGCGGCATATCCGAGCAGGGCCGTGGACTCTCCCGGGAACAGGCCGGCGAGAGAACCTGACTCAGCGGCGCCCGTGCACTCGAGGCCCTCCCTGCGCCCGCAGCGCGGCGCCGCCCACCGCGGAGGTCCCGGGGCTCCGGGCTGAGGAAAGGCTGGGATCCGTCGGGACCAAGGCGGGCCGCTCGGAGCTGGGGGCCCCCGGGTGGCCGCGGGGTCCGGTTGCCCGGCTCCCCTTCCGCGCAGGTGGAGTGGCCCCGCACCCGGACGGTGCGCACCCCGCCTCCTCCGCGCACCCCACCTACCACACGCACCCCAGCTCCCCTACTCCCACCTCAGCCCACCCCGAGGACGCCTTGCAGCCCCGGTGGGGTTTCGAGCGGCGGGCGCAGCCGTGCGCCCTGGGGCCAGGCGTGAGAACGCCCCCTCCACTACTTCTCTTACTTGGGCCTGCGTGGCAGGCGACCCTGCCCGCTCAGTCCCCCCAGACTTGAGGTTCCAACCATGCAGAAGCTCAGCGTGGTGCAGTTAAACGGTACCTACAGGTTGCCACAGGAGAGCGAAGCGCCCAGGGCTCACCCCAAGCACAAAGACCACATCCTAGCTCTTTCAAACCCCAAAAGACGTGTTTTGTGTGTTTTTTTTAACATTTTTTTTAAATTGCAAAGGAATCAGAAATATATTCTCATTAAAAAACAAAAGGGGCCGAACGCGGTGGCTCACGCCTATAATCCCAGCACTTTGGGAGGCCTAGGCGGGTGGATTACTTGAGGTCAGGACTTCAAGACCGGCCTGGCCAACATGATGAAATCCCGTCTCTACTAAAAATGCAAAAAATTAGTCGGCTGCAGTGGCGCGAGCCTGTAGGCCCAACTACTCAGGAGGCTGAGGCAGGAGAATCGCTGGAACCCGGGTGGCGAATGTTGCGGTGAGCCGAGATCGCGCCACTGCACTCCGGCCTGGGCGACAGAGCGCAACTTCGTCTCAAAAACAAGGCGTTTAAAAAAAAAAAAAGGCGTTTTACGGTCAGGCAAACCCTGCCTCTGCCCAACCCAGTGCCCGCCCCGCCGCCACGCCCTCCTGCGCCGGTCGCCGCTGACCCGGGGCTCCACCCACGTGCGGTCCCAGGGGTCCCGCCTGCCGTCCGTCCACCGCGCGGTCGCAGTCAGAGCCCGGCTCGGGGCGGACGCTCATGAACGCAGGTGAGAGGCGGCGACTGAACGGCGGGCGGCGGCGTGTCCCACGGGCCGGGCACTCGGGCGCGCTCCGGCATCCGGTCTGTGTTTCCTGGTCCTCCGGGGCGCTTGCCCCGGTGCTTCCTTTTGCTGTCGGCCTCACTTCCAATCGAAGGTCAGGGCGTCAGGCCTCGACCCCAGGGGCGACCCTTCCACGTGGGAAAGGTGGGCGCGAGCCTCCAGCAGAGACCGCCCTTGCCAGCCCCGCGTGGGAAGCGCCGGGATCGCGAGGAAACGCGACACGTGCACCGCGACGGCCCGGGCACGGAGCCGCAGGGAGCTGGCACCTGACGCGCCTGCGCCCACCCGACTTGGTGGCGCGTCACCTCCCCCGGGATCGCCCACCCAAGTGCCAACTCACGTGGCCCCGCCCTAGCGACCGTTGCTAAGGGGCGTGGCTCAGCCCCTCAGAACCCGAGCCTCCTGCGGCTTATAAATATTTGCGTATTCAAATGAGGACCCGCCCACGTTGCCATGGGGCCCAGGCCGCAACCCCGCAGCCGGAAGAACAGCCTGGAGTAGGAGACAGCGCCTGGCGGCGGAGGGCGCCCAGGGCCGAGCTGCCAGGGCCGGACACCTGGGCTGAGCCCTCAGGTGAGAGCCGAGCACACCCTTGGGGTGGGAGCCACAGGCCTCGCCGTATGCCTGGTGGCAGGAGGGAGCCTGCGCCAAGGCGAGGGCGCGGGGACTAAGCAGCACAGCCAACGGGGACCCAGTGAAGGCCCCGCACGTCAGATCTGGTCCCCTGGGGACCTTGCCTCCACCACCCCCTGGCCCTGCACTGAAGGGGCTCCCTGTCAGGAGGCAGGAGGGGCCCCAAGCCTTGCCCCTGAGGGAGATGCAGAGGCAAGGACCCAGGGTGCTCGGAGTTCCAGGGTGGGGCTCAGCAGGGGAGCGGGCTCTGCCCTCCCAGTGTCCATGGTGAAGGGGCAAGGGCTGCAGGGGACCAGAGGTGATGAGCTACCCACCAGGGAATGGCACTAGCTGGGGTGTGGAGACAGAATTCCTCCAGTTTCCAATTTGGGGAGCATGGGGGCTCGCAGAGGGGACACAGGGTAGGAGCAGGACTGCGAAGTGTGCGGATGAGTTCAGGCCTGGGCGAGAACACCAGGAGCAGTGTCTGAGGTGGGAGTGCAGTGGGTGCTTCGGACTCCACAGCCTCCAACCCCTGGTCCTTGCACCCCTAGGCCTTGGGGCTCAGACCAGCCTGATACTCGGGCTCTTGGGCACAGAGGAGACAAGGGTGGCTGACTCAGCCCTTAGTGCCACCCATAGATGTTCTGGGGCTGCGCATGACCTGGCCAGCTCACGCCCTCCATGAGGCTCAAGACTGGCAGGCCTGGGATGGAGGTGGCCAGAGTCTTTGGGGGAACGCAGTGGTGGGTCCTGCTGTGAGGCCTGGGGCCTTCCACCGTCTGGAGAAAGGCAGGCAGTGGGGGAGATTCTGGCTGGAAACTCCATGAGACTCTAGTTTGAGCTTACCTTCTTTGATTCTTGGTGCATGGTCACCTTCCAGACCAGGCCACTGAGGCACCCGGAGCCTGAGCCGCTGCCCTGCTCCAACACTCCCGCCCACCACCTCTGTCAACGGCCAGCCAACTGCCTGGCGCAGGGGCAGCTGTAGACAGGATGGAGAGGATACATCTTCAATGTCCATATGTGGTCAACAGATGAAAGCCACGGCCAGGAAGTTCTAAGTGGCTACATGTGCATCTGCCTGTTCACGGATTCCTTCCACAAATATTTGTGCGTCGTCTCCTGCGGCTGTGGATAGCAGAGGAGCACCCAGGCCACGTGCAGGCCACGTGCAGCCAACAGCGCTGGGGCGAGGCAGGCCCTCAACCGAACACATAGTAAGACACACAGGGCTCCAAAGAGAATTTGTCTCATCAGGAAGATAAATCTGGGAAGGCTGGGTGGGGAGAGGCTGGGTGAGGAGTGCTGTCAAGGAGTCAGTCCAGGTCCAGACTGAACAGAGGAAGGTGGTCAGGGAGAAGGATGCTGGACGCTCCAAGCACATTTCTCACTGCACCCCTGGAGCTCGTGATTCCAGGGTCTGCGGCCGAGGCAGATGTCTGCTTTTTTTTTTTTTTTTTTGAGACGGAGTCTCGCTCTGTCGCCCAGGCTGGAGTGCAGTGGCCAGATCTCGGCTCACTGCAAGCTCCGCCTCCTGGGTTTACGCCATTCTCCTGCCTCAGCCTCCCAAGTAGCTGGGACTACAGGCGCCTGCCACCACGCCTCTTTAATTTTTTGTATTTTTAGTACAGTCGGGGTTTCACCATGTTAGCCAGGATGGTCTCCATCTCCTGACCTCGTGATCTGCCCACCTCAGCTTCCCAGAGTGCTGGGATTACAGGCGTGAACCACTGCGCCCTGCCAGACGTCTGCATCTTTAAGGGGCAACACTAGGTAAGCCTGGTGCAGGTGGTCGAGGGATACACTGGGCTTAGAAAGAACGGGGTACAGGAGAGGGACACACTGGGCCAACACCCTCAGAGGCCTGGAGTGGGGCTCAGGAAGAACGGGGTGCAAGAGAAGACCCCTGTGGAGAAGGAGGGAAGTGGGATTTGGAATAGCAGCAGGCATCGCGTTGGGGAACCCAGAGGTAACCTAGCATCGGTCACACACCTGACTCTGTCTTCCTCCTCGCCAGCTGGGCCCGTGGATGGTCAGGTCCTGGGCTGACCCGCTCACCTCTGGGTGCTGTGACCTCAGCCCGGCCCATTCCAGGTTCCCCTGGGCACAGTAAACTGGCCAGGAAGCCACCCTGACTCTTGCAGGTACTGCCTGAGGGCACGTGCCGCCTCCTTGCCTGGATGTTTGACCCACAGCAGAAGAAAGCAGCTGCCTGCAGGAGAAGGGGTTTGGCTGGCACAGGGGTGGGGTAGGGGAAGGCCTGGGACCTGATCCTGGACCCCAGGCTCAGAGACCATCAGGTGGAGAAGGACCCATAGCCCACAGATTGAGGCAGCCCTGGGAGCCCCATAGCCACAGGCAGCTGGCCTGGCACCATCAGGCTCACAGCCCTCATGGTCCTCAGGTGGGGAGGCATGGAGCCAGCACTCCCTGCATGGACCCTGAGGATGGGCAGAAACAGGGAGGGCGTCCTACGGAGCAGAGGGGGTCGAGCCAAGGCTGGGGGAGGGGAGCGTGAGGCCCTCCAGGCTGAAACTAAGCAGACTAGGGCTCCATGAGGCCCAGCCAAGCTAGGAGCCTTCTCTAGGCTCGGGGTGGGGGTGGGTGCCAAGGGCTTGCTGTGTGTGTTGGCGGGAGCAGGGAGTTGAGGGCTGTGCCAGGGTCTCAGCCAGGCTACAGAGGAGGAGGAGCAACAGCTTGGAGCTTTGCGCTCTGCCTCTGTCAGCAGGTTACATGTGAATGGACCCAGGCTGGGACAGATCCCATGGGCCTCGGCCAAGCACCTCCAGCTTCCGGGTGCGGGAGCTGAGCTGGCAAGGCCTGCACAACCCCTGCCCACAGAGCAAGGGCCCTGGCAGCCAGAGGGACAGCCTTGGAGAGCAGCTGGTGGAAGAGTACCTGTCCCCTGCCCGACTGGTGAGTGTGGGCGCTGGGGGCTGTGGCCACAGAGGCCTGCGTGGGGTGATATCCCAGGGCTCCTTTCTGCTGATGATCCAGCCTGCCCTCTGTCCCCCTCTTGCTGGTCTTGCCTGCTGATGGTTGGCCTCAGCCTGGCCCCTGCAGCTGAGTCCACTCCGCCCACTCTGCCCTTGGGACCCCTACCAGACCCCAAAACACCAGCAACACCAGGTGCTCGGTGACACAGATGTCCCCAGGCATTTGGGTCACAGACAGGACTGAGCTAGGCCAGAACCCACAAGTAGGGGCTGAGCGTCCATTATCCTCCAACCAAAGAGGGGGTTGGTCCTTCACTCAAGCAGGAGACCAGACGGCTCAAAGCTCAGGGCAGGGCCAGGCGCGGTCCGGGCTCTGGGTGCCGGATGTGGTGTGTCTGCCCTGGGAGTCTCTTTGGAGATGGGCAGCCCCCAAGGCAGGTCCTTCTCTGGCAGTGGCCCTCCAGTCAAGTGCAGCACAAGCTCTGCTCATGTCACGTCCATTTCCATCCCACCACCCAGACCAGGGCCAACATGGCCAAGGCAGGGAAAGGTCGGTGCCCACTCCGGCGGGAACCCCAGAGTCCTGCAGCCAGAAGCAAGGATGGAACTAAAGTGGGGAGAGCCAGGATCAGCACTGAGTCCCGGTTGGTTTCTACAGCAGGCCCTGGCCCGGGTGGATGACCTTCGGCTGGTGAGGGTGCTGGAGATGTGTGTGGACACCCGTGAGGGCAGCCTGGGGAACTTTGGTGAGCCTCATCCCACCCCACCATGGCCACAGCCATGGCCTGGCCTCTCCGTAAACAGTGCACATTTCCTGGTTATGACAAAGCTGTCCTCACCTCTCGGGCTGCCTATCGGCTTCCTTAGGGTTGATCTCTGACCTGAGGTCTGTGTCAGGTACAGGCAGAGGGCAATGCACTTAGGACCCCGCACACCACGCCAGTACCCCCAGCACGCTCAGTACCCCACACACCCATGCCAGTACCCCAGCACGCTCAGTACCCCACATACCCATGCCAGTACCCCAGCACGCTCAGTACTCCACACACCCACGCAGTACCCCTAGCATGCTCAGTACCCCACACACCCATGCCAGTACCCCAGCATGCTCAGTACTCCACACACCCACACAGTACCCCCAGCATGCTCAGTACCCCACACACCCATGCCAGTATCCCCAGCATGCTCAGTACCCCACACACCCATGCCAGTACCCCAGCATGCTCAGTACTCCAGACACCCACACCAGTACCCCCAGCACGCTCAGTACTCCACACACCCACACCAGTACCCCCAGCATGCTCAGTACTCCACATACCCATGCCAGTACCCCCAGCATGCTCAGTACTCCACATACCCACACCAGTACCCTCAGCATACACTCCACACACCCACGCCAGCATCACAGAGGAGCAGAGGACAAAATGGTGCCGAGTGCCACATGGCGTCTCCTGAAACTCATCTTGAAATAATCTCAGCCAGGCACAGGGGCCACGCCTGTGATCCCAGCACCGTGGGAGGCCAAGGCAGACAGATCACTTGAGCCCAGGAGTTTGAGATCAGCCTGGGCAACACAGCAAGACCCCTGTCTCTAAAAATAAAAAATTAGACAGGCATGGTGGCACCTGTAGTCACAGCTACTCAGAAGGCGGGGAGGTCAAGCTGCAGCGAGCTGAGACTGCACCACTGCACTCCAGACTGGGCGACAGAGCAAGACCCTGTCGCAAAAAAAAAAGGAAAAAAAAAACCGCTCCCTCCCCACCCCCACCAGGTTCCTTCTCCTTCGCCGTGTTTACGGTGCTGCTCGCCCCTGCTCGCTCCCGTGTGTGCACAGCACATCAGGCCGCTGTTCTTTTTCCTGAACTAGTTGAGAGTTGCACATGCAGTGCCCCTTTATCTACTGACACTCCAGTGCGTGTTTCCTGAGAGGAAGGACGTTCTCTCAAATGCAGTACAATGGCCAAAGTCAGGAATTACACCTGTATGTGAATCTCAGCCGTGCTGACGACCACGTCCAAACGTCACCAGCTGTCCCAACAGGCTGGAGGGCAGCGGCGCGATCTCAGTCCCGACAGGCTGGAGGGCAGCGGCGCGATCTCAGTCCCGACAGGCTGGAGGGCAGCGGCGCGATCTCAG